TTCTTAACTACAGTATGTAGTTTTAATGAGGTTAACTTCAACCGGCTAAGATTTCACCTATCTATTTTTCAGTATCACATTTGTTTTATGCAGAGCCTTTCCAATTAAATTGTTTCCTACTAAAGCCTCTAAATGCTTCAAAATGTCTTCTACTAGGAAACAGAACTAAAAGAAAAGCAAAGAAGTTGGAATAGTTTCCTTCAGTTCCTGCAGTTACATAAAATACGGATGGTGTTACTATAGTTTTCACAGCCTTCTTTTGCCAAGACTGTTCACCTGGTTCACCAAAGTTTTCCAGTTACTTGATTTCTACCTAAAAGGAGATATTTTTAATGTCTTTTTGGCAATCATCAAGCTTTAAAGGGACTTTTTTTCCTAACTTTAAGAATTAAGACCATTCTAAAACGAAGTCCTTTCAAATAATGCCAGCATTAAACCTCAAACTGGCACAGCTGCAGTTTTCATTGCAGATCAGATCCTTTGAACAGTTTAAGAGAAGGTGGCAACATCGCAATTTTTATGTTGGGGAATAAAAAAAAAGCTTTTTGCATGCACACTTTTTTAAAAATAAAACCAATAAAAATCTATGTCCTTTGCGTTTCACTTCATATAGTTCACATTTGGAATCAACAACATTCTTACTCCAAAATTATCTTTTTAAACAGCAGTTACAATAATTCTGAAATTTAAATGAACAGCGTCCCCTTCGCTGGTTTGTTTCTGGATGATTCATCCTACAGCAACACCGGTTGTTTCAAAAAGCATAACAGTGTTATTAGTGTGAAACAGGAAGTAACGTATAATAATGCCAGTCCACCAATACACCAGAGGTTTAAAAAAGCCAATGAACCATAGATTAAAATACATCATGCAGTGTCTTCCTACTGAAAACAACTGCAAAAAGTATAAAGTTCACCTTGTTTAAAATTACAACACTAAGAATAACATTCCAGTCCTAGAGAAGTTGTCATAAAACACACAACAGAAAGTTAATACAAACTTCTGTCATGGTTGGGTTTCATCAGCAAGCATTTCTTCCGAATGCCACACGGCTCTGTTGAACTATCACCATTCCTATATTTAATCAATTTTAAAAACTGATGACTTAAAATTACATTTTGCGAAAAGACAGGAGGCCAGACTTCCTCTTGAGGCACAGACTGAGGTTTCCTATTAACATCCAGATTATATAAAGCTTCTGAATAGTATGAAAGCAAGCAATTCCCTAGAAGACTTGGAACAGGGATCTCACATTTGCAAGAGAACTTGCCAAAGACCTATAAGAGATCTCAAACAGCACAGGGATGGGAATAGAGCTCATTTGGCTGACATACTGAAGTCCTTTCCTACTGTAAATTATGGTGTCCCCCTTACAATCGAAAAGCTGCTTGCCATACTGCCAAGAAAAAGCCCAGGAGTATCCATTTCTGCAAGGGCAGAACACACAGAGTGTGTATTTCCAGAGGCTCTGCCACTTGAATGAAGAGTTGAAAGCAAGTGTGTCAGAAGTAAGTATATCTGCTGTGTGCTTCCTGGCAAAGGACTAACTTGGGGAAGCGTATTGATCATGGAATAAGAAATATGCCAAACAAAGCACTGTCCATTAAGTGGAAGACTTATTACTTCATTCATCACTAGCAAGAAGGCCAGTGTCTGAACACCTCCAAGCAGTAAAGTCAGAGGAGAAACAGCCTGCTGGATTCCTTACTCCCACCACAGCTGCCTGCTCTGATAGATACTTCTCTGGCAAGCTGTGTTCCACAGGCTTGATCACACCTGTCAGTTCTACAAGCTCTCCTATCCCCACTGCCAACAGGAAAATGTCTTGCAGCGTCATTCCCAGCACAAGAAGAGAGAGTTCCAGCCCAAGCAGGACATTGCTAGTGCTCAGGTACATACCTGTTTTACCTGCCTTCCTGGACAATGACTTTGCACTTCCCATGTCACCAAAGTGCATTTCCTACATTAAACGAGAAGTGCTCAACGCAGTGAAAAATTCTTATTTTGCATATTGGATGGGTCCTTCCACTTCAAAAGAGTATCTGGGCAGTGGTGGAATTATCCATTTCTTCAGTAAGAAACATCTCCATGGAGTATATAATGAAAAGCCAAGCACACATGCATCTGAGGTCTAGTTTAGAAGGTGTCAGCAGCCAAGAAAGCAAACAGCATGGCTAAGGAGTTCAATTTGCTCAGCCTCAAGACAAGATAGCCTCCACTCCCTTTAGGAGACAGGAAAAAGCTGTTACTTTATTGTCACCTACAGCTGATAGGAAAAGACATTTTTGTAAATCAACATCCTAGGAAAAGAATCTTTGGAATGTAAAAGGCAGTTTGAATGAATGGAACTTGCAATAATCTCAGCTTATGCTCAGTACAATTTCTACCTCTGCTAAATTCTGCCTGGTTGCAGAAGTCTGAAGAAAAGTGAAGGACTTGATTCAACTGCTGGTCACTGACACGACTTGGGAGATTTCTGTGAAAAGGAAGAAAAATCAACACAGTTCACGGAGCTGCTGCTACTTCTTTCTCCGAAGATGAACTGCAACTTCTGAATATGGATTCATGGATATATGAAAGAGTCAGAGAAAACTGACAAGCAGGACCAACAGGTGGCAGAAGCACGAGGTGAGCACTGAAAGCTTGAAATACCCAACCAGTGCTCATGAGGGAAAGGCGAGAAATGACACACCCACTCACTACAGACTTGGGATGCAGTGGTGAGCAGAAGGATTTGGGACTGGAGGATACGGCAGAGCCTTAAGAAACCAGCAAGTACAGACAACTTCCTGAACTATACGTTTACTCTACAGATATGGCAATTTTGAGAATGGAGAAAAATCTCAGGTGTCCTTTAGGCACCTGAAAAGTATATTCTACAGAAAGTGGTTATGAAAGAGCATCAAGGTTTGTTTGTAGTCAAATATCCCTAAAGTCCTAAGATAACCAGAACAGGATGCTGTAACCAGACTCTTCGAAGACCATGATTCTCTGTGCAATAAAGCTTTTTAAACTCAGCATTTTGCCCTGTAATTACAGTGTGTTTCTAGACATTTTCCCTATTCATGTGCATTTCCCTAATAGCCATTTCTGACCACTGTCAGATGGGACAGTGGACTGTACAGACCTCTTGCCTGACCTACTGTCAATGTTCATATGAATATTGTTATGGGAAATTCCTCACTTATGGGAGAGACTATGACATTATTGACTTGTTTAAGAAATACATTTGGCATCTACACTAATGTGCTTGATTAAGCTAGAAGATGCAGGATATGTAAACACTATATTAATATTTAAACCTAAATTTTCAAAAATCTGACTACAGACATACTACATAATAAAAATAAAAAGAGATGCATATGTAAACACTCCCCAGTATTTTCCAGAGTTGAAAGGAAATGGTATAAAGCAAGGAATGACCAACGTCAGTCTGGTTTTGGCATGCTTAAATTTTGTCCTTATTTATTTTTTAATTTATTTTTTTCAAGTTTGGCAATATAGGAAAATGAGAAAAACCAATGTAATAATTTTTGGGGTTTTTAAAAATCTTCTTTACTACTGAATTTTTAGATAAACTGAAATATCAGTTGAGTGGTTATTCTGTTCCTATTTCCCCTCACCTGCTCTTGTATCTCCATGTTTTTACTGCTGAGCATGTAAATCTAAAGTCTCTACATGCAAAAAAAAAAGATTACATTACAACCCATTTATATTTAATAAAATAAGCACATACTGAAATAAACAGGAATCCTGAGCATTCAGCTCTGGTACTATGTTAGTCTTGCATGCAAAACCCACCATGCTTCAGGTTAAAGGAGATTATATTATTTATTTATATTTACTTACTCTTACTACTATTATGTGTAATAATAATAACAATAATTATTAAGAATCAGTTTAAAGAGATAATTTCCTTTACTAAGTCTTTTGGGTGGTGTTTCCTGATTCATACTGCTATCAATTCTCAGTTATATTATGACAGTGTTGATCCAACCCTATGGAAATCTTTCCAATTTATTAGGAATTCTGAAGATCACAACTGAGAAACAATAAATTGTCAAAATATTAGCTATATCTCAGTAATGTGAAATTACTTAAGAAAGCTTGTTTGCCATGTGGATCTTCTTTCAAATTTCATCTTTCCTTTGCAGATCACATCTGGGAATGTTACATGAACAAGAACACGAAAAAATTAATCTAACAAAAACCCCTTACTGAAATAACCACTTATTCATAGAAAAGACACACCTAAAGTATGGTGTATTTCCACTGAATTATGTATTTTTTTCAGAAGGTGTAAAAGAACCATCAAAAAAGCTGTCACTTCTTTAGCAGTAAACAGTTGCTTTTGTTAGATTACCCCCGCCCTAAAAAACTGCGGATTTCCCTGTTCTAACATCATAATTAGTAAGCATTCTTCATTATACTCCTTTGAAATTATACCATGCAAAAAAATCCTGACAAGGGTTTTGGCCTTCATTTTTTATCTTTCACAACCAATTTCACAATACTCTGACAGTTAAAGGAGTAATAATAAAAGTCATTCAGATGTAATATACACCCCTGTTGAGGTCCGTGGGTGATGGCTAGTCCTTTCCAGCCACGTGAAACAGTGCAGACCTGCAGCAAAAATTTCATCTACACAGACCAACTACAGAATTTCACAGTTTATTTATACATATATTAAGCGTAGCATAGATTCCAGCAGAAACACCAATATATATATATATTCATTTCACCAACACAAATGCTATCTCCAGATGTTAATTTTATTTATGAGAGGCCTTTATAAGCTCAATGTACACTCACAAAAACAGACAGACATGCACACACCTTTACATTTGAATAATTACATAAAACAGGGTCCCTTACTGTTCTGTCTCTGCAAAAATACTGCAGTCATGAATTAAACATTACCTTCCAAAGTTCTCTGTTTTGTGCCTGCTCTGGCAAGGTTTGTGGGAACAGTGATTAGAATCTGAATTGCTTTACATTACCTCCAACCTTAGGCCCACCAGCTGATCCTGGCTTTCTTGCACTGTTTGGAGGATTTCCTGGCTTTTTAGGTGCTGGAACCTTGAAGGCTGAAGCAGCTGATGATGGCCTATTTCCATCCACTGACTCTTCATCATCAAAGCTTTTGTCTAGAAAAGGATACATTAAATAAAAATACAGCTATTAGAATGGGTGTATTTTCATTTCCTAATCAACTATTTTGCTTCACATTTCACAGAAATTGACAAAATGCATAAATAAAAGCAAGTATTTATCACTTTGTCCTGTCTCTGACCTAGGAATAAAATGACAGTGAGAAATAAACAGCATTTTCTACATTTTAAGTTCTTACAAAACATTATTTTTCCTTCATAATTAACCACAGTAAAACTGAGCATAAAAATGAATCCTACACATCCATTCCCACAAAAGGAAAATATCTTCACACAGACTGAATATTTTTGAGCATTTTTTAATATTTTCCCCAAAGGAAAGCCCTTAATATAATTTCCATCATTCCAGTTTACCAAAAACAAATGCTTCTCCTTTTTCTTCTTTTACTCATGCATGCATTTTCTGCTACACATCCTCCCACAATGTGTCTAACTAGCACTCCCTGTCTCTTTCCTTCCACCCAGATTTTTTCAACTTACAATCACAGATCCTCTTGCAGATCAGTCGCCTCATTCCTCTGATAGCTCTTCAATCCCCTCACCCAAGGACGGACCCAGCACCTCACATGGCCACATGCAGTAAATTCTTAATACTAATCAAAGATTCCATCAAAAACTGCTCGCAAACACCCTAGATCCACCACTGAGATTTGTGCCGGCATCTTTCTCTCCCTTCCCTGCACTAGGTGCTGACAACCAATGAGCTGCAAGGTGACATCATCTTCTGGGAGCCAACGCCAGAGGAAAAGGTGAAAATTCTCCATGCAAATAAATTAATTCCCACACACAGTATTTGCCACTATTCCAATCCTTCGTTAAAAAAAATTAGACAGGCAGACAATATTCTGGGGTTTGCACTCCTCTTTCCTATAATTTCAGGTTTGTGTATTTTTAATGAAGAGAGAAATTCATCTCTAGTGACTAAACAGTCTCAATACAAAATATTTTGCCTTAAAAAAACCTCCAACATATTCCAACAGTAGAAGGCAAGTGGTTTTCTCAACCCACTAAGGGAAGAAGGATTTATCTATAAGCTTGAGCACAGAAAATGTATCAGTCTATGGTTCCCACAATAAATAAAATGGGCGAGGCTGAGACACGGCTGCATTACAGTAACGAAAGACCAATTTAGCATATTACCTGCTCTAAAACCTGCCATTTCTAAAAGAAAAATAAAATTAATGGCAAAGCTTTATCATCTCTGGAATGGTCACTGTTTACCCTTCGCTTATTCAGAACTTGTTCCCAGTGAAATGTCAACTATATTTAACAATATAGCTTCCCAGAGGAACGCAGCCTGCATTAAAAGGGTACAGCAAGGTTTTGTCCAGCAGCATTTGCAGCACCATCGAATGCTGGAACACCCTTCATTTAAGGTGTCCAAGATCACTGCTGCTATAATTAGTACATTTTATTAGCATTTGCCAAAAGCTGTGTTAGCACTAACGAATCTCCATGATTAAAGGAACAAGCCACCACAAGAAACATGGATGTATATGAACAATTTTCATTAACATTATTTCCTTTTCTCCTAAAAACACTCATTTTTAAGAGAATCAGGCTAAGAATAATTGTGTTTGGATCTGTAAACTCTCCCGAATCGGGAAAAGGCATCAGCCTTCCCCCTCAGTGTCCTGTGCGTTGCCATGGAAACAGCACTCCCGCTCAGCATACGGGTGAGCCAGAATACATTTTGATTCCTGATGCTTTTACTCTCAGTATCTTAAATAGAACCAGACATCAAGATTTTTGAGCAAGGAAAACCACTGATCCAAATGCCACATTAAGTGCACTGAGCTAAACACCATAATAAAAGGATAAACAGCAATGGCTAATATCTAGGATACCTGCAGCATTACAGGTAATTTTAAAATAGCATTAAGAAATATCTTGCAGATTTTTAAACAGAGTGAACAGATCAACAATGACACATGAGTATGGAATCATGAAAACTGACTAAAAATGAAAACACACTTTTCAAATAAAAATGGTTTTGTTGCTGCATTTCAAATCTGATGAAGAAACAGGCAAGACTTTCATATTACTACCCAACAGCTCTACAATGCAGCACTGATAAACAAATATTGCACCACAAGCCTTTGGAAACAATAGTTATTTGCAATACAATCTCAAAAATAGAAAGTAAGCATTTGCTCACTTATGCAAAACCTCCTAATGAAGAAAAATCTAAACAAACCCAAACAACAGTGTACTTTGGGACTTTCCATTTTTACCAAACTATTCATTATGAAGGCATACTAAAGATGGGGAATTGTAGAAGTTACTGCTCAACCCCAAAATGTGCAAACAGAGTTTCAGAAAAAATGCAAAGGCAAGTATTTCCAGGTACTGACCTGCTACGTACATTAGAGGACAATATATTAAATAATGTTCTTGGGAATACTGTCAAATTACTTTGCCTAGTTAAAGAATACATTTTTTCATACATTTAAAACATTATTAACACTGAATTAAAAACCTACACTATGAAACAGTTTCATAATTTTTCAGTCCACATGAAACCCAGTTTTTAAAATAAATTCCCACTTTTTTTTTTTTAAAAACACCGAACTATCTTAACCACTGATACATGGGCATTCTTAACTGGACTTTTCATGGTTTATGTTAAAATAAATTAAAAACTGTGGTACAATTACTTTTAAGTGTTCCAAAATAATAGCACAGAACCATAAGCATATAAAATTAATGGCTGAAAATTATCTGTTTTAATTCTATTAAGGCTAAAGTGATAATGTAAGTCTCTTTTGGTTTGGGTTGGTTTGTTTTTAAATAAACATAAGCAGGAAAGTTCTGTACCATCTTTTAAAGAAACCAGAGGTTTCCCCCACCCTTTTAGGTCTTTACCCTTTTTTTACCTTAGGATTTAACATCAAAATCCCGAGTGAACTTCAGGGACACTCCGTTTCTAGAAATACGCTTAACAGTGTTTGTGAAAATCTGAAACCTGAGGTTTGTATTTATAGCACTTCATGACACCAAAGCATTTTATTTGCTTCCTGTATGATGTGCTTCCCATGCGCTCTCACTCATCTGCAGTGATACACTTGGTTTGTAGCTCTCATAAAAGCATTTCCATGTACTTCAGCATGGAGAGCCCCAGCTTGAGTTTTAACTGCTGCTCCACAGGGTATAATCAAGGTGCAGTTCCAGCTGAGCCAAACGTGTTTACTACGTGCCTTTGGCTGGCCAAAGGACCAGGGATGGAGCTCTTGACTGCCAACACGCAGAACACAATGACGGTTGTACTCTCAGTATCAAACTGTGATCGCACTGCTGGTTTTACGCTGTCTACAAACAAAATAAATTTCTACAACAGAAGTCACAGAAGCCTAAGTGTAATTGCTATTTCAAAACAAAGCTATCTGAAGGATGCAAACTTTTTTCATTCTAGAATGGCTAGATAACTTTCATTCCAGGTAATTTTAAAGGCCTAACACTTTCAGAGTATCAGATTTTACATATGCAAATACATCTGACAGCTGAGAAAGCACTATCCAAACAGCATTTTACAACAAAGCTGCAAGGTACTAAAAATAAAAAGCTGTATGAATTGCTAGTAACACACAGAACATCTCAAAGGAAAAACACAATAAATGAAAGACACTGAGCCTCAGTTAAATCTCATAACACTGTTCTTGTACTCAGTTAACTTTAAATCATATTGAGTATGAAGAGTTTTTGAGGTAAGCGCACCATAACAAGAAGAACTTGGAATCTAGTACTGCCAAAAGCTGCTGAAGCAGCCTGATGAGCAACAGATGCTCTCACTCCGGTGCAAGTTCTCTTTCAGATGAACAACTTCAGGAAAAAAAAAAATTCAAGAAAAGATTGTTCATTATCTTTATAAAGCTACAAACACAAGACTCAATGTCTGAGCATTAGAAGTCTTCTCTTCTAATGGAAGGCAGAGATCTGTACCACAGAGGAGCATTCTGTAGGTATAACACAGCAAGTGAACTGGTATCAATGAACTGCTGTGCATTCCTACAAAACATTTCAAGAGTTGTCAAAGGAATTTTTCCAGTAAAAGACCCACTACACCAACCTGCAGGGCACAACAGTAGCTAGAGTGTACCATACTTTCAAAACTTGGGGTTTATTCAAAGTTATTCTAAGATTAAATCCAGGAAGACTAAAACTCTGAACTACGGCAAAGGTTTAAATACTGAAATTCTTAGGAAACAAACAACACAATTTGAACTAAAAATAAACAGAATACACATGCTATCTTCATGCCTTGTAGCATTACTCTTGGGGGCCAGATCACAACTATGTAGTGTATGTTTTCCAAAGTATTTGGAGAAATCAAAGGACAAAGACTTACAATAAAACTTGATACTCAAAGAACATTCTAGTACTACCAATATTTAAGACTTCAAAACAATCTATTTACTGTGATTTGGCTATAGAGCAGTAAGGGTAATTACAGATGTATCCAGTGAGGAGATTCTAGAGAGAAATCTAGAGCTTGTCATATCCAGAGAAAAATGCAACTCAAGCCTCTCTACCTTAGCTGGTTTTAAGATTCACAGAATTAACCTGACTCTTAACAGCTAACATTTTGTAAGTCATAGTAACAGAAGAAAGAAACACAGTATCACCAACACCACTTTCCAAATACAAGATCTATATTCTACCTGTGCTATGCAGCAGCAGCAAATCAGAAGTTAACTGACCTTAAAGCAGATCCCCAAGTAACACCATAGAGGGGAAAAACCTGGATCCCCTGCAGTAACACTGAACTAAAGTTGGCCATAAAGGCAAATCTTGATACTGTTATCAGAAGCAACATCTTATGCATCTAACACCCCTGGAGTTGTAAACACCAACTTGTAGCATTTCATTGTAGATTGATAATTAGTCAAACCAGAGAACACAGCATATTTAATATTTATATATTTAATAAAACTAGTTTTTAACTGCCTTTTCTTAAAAACATGCCCTTTCTATATCCC